AAACGGTACCGTTTGGAGTTGAGCGGCATCGCGGATGGTTAAAACAATACCGCGAATTAGAAAATGACACCGCAAGGAAGCTCAGCGGTACTGCGGCACGGGAAACGACACCGTTCACCAGAAAACAAGATGGGGCCGCGCGTTTTAGTATTGGTGTTGGAAAAGGAGTTTTTTATAATTTTTATTCCTTGTCAGAAGGGGAGAAGCGATACCGCATGGAGACAAGCGGAATCGCAGAGAATTAAAACGGTACCGCGGATTTAAAAACGATGTAGCGAGAGGCCTTGATAAGCGGTGCCGATTAATTAAAAACCATATCGGGTAAGTGATAGCCCAAAACTCCGCCAAGCCCAAACGTGAAATATCGCAGCAATTTAATACGTTGGTGTTTTTTTTATTATGTTAGGCGGTGTGCTTCAATTTAAACGGTACCGCGAGTAGGCCCAACGGTACCGCTGTGCTAGCAAACGACAGTGTTTAAAATATTTAAACAATGTCGTGAGGAATAGCAAACATAGACGTTTTGGCGCTAATGATGCCATTGGTCAACACACGAGTTTGACTAGTGATGGCCGGATTAATTAATTAATATTTTTTAATGATTATTTAGGACGGTGTCGTTTAGTTGAAAACGATGCCGCAAGAGGTATCAACAACATCGCGGATAAGAAAACGACAGTGTTTAATAAAAAACAATGTCGCGAAAAGAAAAGCAAATGAAGCCGTTTTAGGGAAGGAAACGATACCACGAGCAAGCCCAACGGCACCGCAAGACGAGAAAAACGTTACCGTTTGGTAGAGTACAATGTCGCGGAATGGAAAACGACATTGCTTGATGGGATCGGCATCGATTGGTGAAAAGCGATGTTGCGGTATTGGTGCGCGACATCGTGTGATTAAAAACAATGTCACGAGGTTCGTGATTTTGTCATGGATGATGAGAACTACGTTATGAACGAAGGAGGTTTATTCGTTCAGTTTATGGGGGTGAAACGACATCGTTACATGGACAAGGTTGTAGGATTTGGCTCAACGTCATTTTGCCAAGTTTCTGCATAGCGGAACGGTTTCGAGGGCACATGATTATCACGCAACAAGGAGGAAGTTACTCGCGCGGTTGAAAGGAATGAAGATGTAAGAGACAAAGTCGCGAAGGCGGTTACCACGACTACGGGCAGAAGATTGCAGTATAAACATCAGGAAGAGAGAGAAGCTCGGGACGGCAAAATCAAATCTCAAACTGCACCGTCGCAGAATCTATATTTTTCTGTCTAGTTTCGTAGAACTTCTCTGTCGAAGACCTCCTTTGCAGAGTCATAGATCGTAGTCGTAGCTTGTAGTCGTAGTCATGGAGCTCTTCAGAGGAACTTCCATAGGATTAGAGGTAACGTAACTTAGAACACTCCCGATTTTGGTTTCTCGTTTCTCGTCGAACACCCACGTTGTTTGGAGAGATGGTGAACCGACTAACGGTTGTTCTTGGTTAGGAGTCAAAGGTGTATCGATCAAATCAACATCGCCGCCGCCGGCGGTGGATATTTGATGGCCGTCTTGGTTTCTGTTTAATCGATCAAATCAACGGCGCCGACATTCGACAGTGGATATTTGACGGTTGTGTTGACTTTGTGTTTTGTGTTTCCTCAAAAACAGTGAGCATTGAACACGTGAGTTTCGCCATCGAAACAAATTGACACACCTGCTGGGACACGTGTGTTCGAATGGCTCCACGATGAAGGAACCATTAAGGGGATGTTCCGCCTAGATTCGTGGAGGAACATGTGGCCAACATTGAAGGATACCAAGGAATAGGTGCTGAAGACATCGGCGGGTCTGAGAATCTGCCGTCCACAGCTGGGCTGACTGAGGATTTGTCAATCCGTCATTTCATGGAGGAGAACCGTCGCATGTTTGCCAGCCTCAACAATGAGTTCGCAGGCTTCAAAGGCGAGTTTGCAAGCCTCAAAGGCGAGGTAAATCAGCGTTTCGACGCTTTAACTGCACGACATGATTCTCTTGAGTCTCGTGTTGACAGGCATTTAGGCCAACTCTTTGAAGTTGTGAGTAAAAACATACATGAGTTTGATGTTTTTGTGGATAAAAACCTACGTGATATGAATGAAATTAGGGAGCTTTTGGGTAGACCAGTAATGCACCCTAGGGATTTGCCGCTAAACGGTGATAACAATTTAAACAACGAAACTGGTTTTCCAAACAATAGTGCTCGAATTAGTCCGCCGAGACAGGGAGTTCCGCCGACACCGGTGATGAAACCACCAACTCAGCGAGTGAATCTTGGCGAGACTAGCATTGGCGCTAACACTCGTGTTGAACCACCACCATTTGACGGTGAGGGTCCACAAAATATCCCGGAGGCCAGACCCTACGTGGCTCTGATGAGCGGTGCTGTTGGTGGAGGAACGATCAACAATGATCATGTTCCGCCACGCGGCTACCCGCAAAACGTGCCTCCTCCTCCAAACGGGCATGACATGGATCCTAGTAGATTCGTACCACAAGGGGGGAAACTCGGGGGGGGGGGGGGGGGGGGGGGGGGGGGGGGGGGGGCAAGACGTTTATGGGATTCGAGATCAAGTAGCACAGACGCTGGCGGATCAGTTTGGTTTAGGGATTAGACCAGCGATGCCGTCGGTATATCGGAAACCGTATCCGGATTGGGTTGATAGATACTACCCCTTTTCACGTGGTTTTCGCGTGCCTGATTTCATCACCTTCAGCGGGACTAGAGATCAGTCCACCGTCGAGCATGTTGGACGATTCACGATTTAGTGTGGTGATGTAAGCGATTTCTTAAAATTGCGTTTGTTTGGCAATTCGTTGACCGGTCCCTCATTCACGTGGTACGTCAACTTGCCATCGAACTCGGTTCAAACGTGGCAGCAAATGGAACAAATGTTCCATGCCCAGTTCTACCGTTCTGAGCCAGAAGTAACAATGGCAGACTTGGCACGAATGCACCAACAGCAGGAGAAATAGTGGGACACTCTTTAACCAATTTTAAGAACGCAAGGAATCACTGTTTTGTAAACTTGACAGAACGCGAGTTTGTTAAACTTGCTCAAGGTGGTTTAAATTTTGAGCTACGTAAGAAATTTCAAGACAGGGAATTTTCACATCTGTTCCAGCTGATGTCTTGTGCTGTTAGGTACGAGTCTCTTCTCCATAAAGAAGAACATAAGAGGAGTGGCTCTCATGGACAATATTTCCCTAATTTTGAAGACTATGGTGTGAATAATGTCGGCAGCGATGTTGACGAGGTTGAAGTTGATTTGGCCGAGATTGTGCAGAGGAAGCCATATGTCTGTGCTTCTCTAGCCAAGGCTGAGGGGGAACCACAAGGTGGAAAACCAAATCGTGCTCCAATTCAAACTAGGAAATATTCCTTTAGTGTTTCGAAATCAGAGTTGATTTTCTACCAGCTTTACAAAGATGGTCAAATTAAGTTAACTGGGGGGGCATACTATCCCGCCAACCGAAAAATTAAAAGGGAAATGATACTGTAAGTGGCCCAACAGTGCATCTCATTCAACTAACATTTGTGTTGTGTTTCGCAACGTTGTGCAAGATGCAATTGAGAAAGGCCGGTTCAAGTTCCCAGAGCCGAGGAAGGAGGCCATGATTGTCGACACGAACCCTTTCCCAAACGTCATCGGCATCAACATGGTCAACCCTGATTTCTCTAAGATCAACCTACCACGCTTCAAGCTGGTGGTGGATACAATGACACCGCCCTGTGGTAGTTCTGATGTGGCCCAGGGTGCTTCATTCTCTCAAGTGCAGGAGGGGCCACACTTGGATCCAGCTGAGGATTGTGTGCCCAGTGTCGCGAAAGCTAAACATTGGGGGAGGAAGACCGAGCCAGTCAGTCCACCAGAGGTTGGGACCATGACAGTTCAAACCGAGGTACCCCTCGTATGAACGTAATGTTAAAGGAGTATGTGCACCTGCATGGGGAAGAGGGAAACGTAGGCAGTGGGTTGATCAAAGTGCCCCACCTTTCAAAAGTCTACCTTTTGGATTTTCCCAACCTGTGAGAGGTTTCCCACCTGTCAGGAGAACCTTCAGGATGCCAAATGTGCCACAGGGTGGTTGGCACACCTACGACGTCCGTCGTCAGTAGCCCATCTCGGTTGACGGGATGAAAAGGACGCAGTATCGAAGGTACCTCAGTAAGAATGCTCAAGGAAGGAGGATTGCAAACTTGCAAGCAAATGTGAACGTGGGCAACTCTGCCATGGGGCTGAGAGTGACTGTGGCCGGTGCTGGAAAAGTTGTCGAGGACAATTTGTACGGGGCCGTTCAGGGCGTCCCGAGAGAGGCTGGTACGATGTTGAGTTGGATGACTCCATTATCGAAGAGGAGATGCTGGAATTGGAGGATCCGAAGTCGAAATTTGATCGAAAAAACAAGGATGACGATGATGACAACCAAGGTGCACCCATGACGATCCAGTTTGGAAGTCTACCACCGGTGGTGGTGAACAACTACATCTTGCCTTTGATTTTCCACATTGATTTGGAAAATCTGGGAGAGGATGGCGAGGTTATGATAGAGGTTGAAGAGGTCGACGAAGATGCTCAAGAGGTCAATGTTGCTGAGCTGGTGAGCGGTTTTGCTCAACTGACTTTAGAGGAGGAGAATGAGGAGCCAACAGCGGCATAGCTGGTTGGCGAGTCCGCGGATTTGCCAATCGAGGCTGAGTCGTAGAGTGCAATGATGGCTCACACGAATGGTCGAATTGATTTGGCAGTAGAGTCAGCCAAGCAGAACAAGAGTTCGCAGCGGATCCTGAAAGAGCTGTACGAAGCAGGCCACAAGGCTGTTGGGCTACTGGGCAAAGCTGGGGGAAGATATCCTTTTTACGTGTTGTACCAAGGCCCGAAAGAGTGAACAAGTGTGCCAGTGAAGAACATCACGTGGGGATCAGAGTTCGACGAGGTAGATAAATCTATCTGGGCTGCAGAAGCGAAGGGGAAAGCTGTGGACGAAGGAACCATGGGTGAAGAATCGAACAGGGTAGTTGTTTTCAATGAGCCAAAGCCTTAGATGCTGCGTCATTTGAGGCCTTTCTACATCAAGGCTACACTTGATGACGTACCAATGTCGAGAGTCATAGTTGACAATGGCGCTGTAGTAAATGTGATGCCAACAAGGATGTTGAAGAAGTTGGGCAAGAGTACTAATGACTTATCCCAACGGAAGTGTTTGTGAAAAGCTATAATGGCGGGTCCACTTCTGCTAGGGGAATCCTCCCAGTTGTCGTGGGAGTTGGATCGCAGAAGCGGATGAGTGCTTTCTTCGTGGTGGATGGAATGATAAGCTACAACGCATTACTTGGCCGGGATTGGATCCACTCCAACAAGTGTGTTCCTTCATCTCTGCATCAGTGTTTGATGCTCTGGAATGAAGACGGTGTCGTTGAGGTGGTACAGGCTGACACAAAGCCGTTTGCCGTTGGGGCCAACGTGGCTGAAGCTTATTTGTACCATGGAGATTTTGGACCACTCACAATTAGGAGTTGGGATGGAGGAGCGTCCAACGTCACAGTTTCAAGCACAAAGGTGTTGGGAAAGGCATGCTTAAACTCGTTGTACGAGATTGTGAGACCATCAATGCTTGCATTAGGTGGTCCACCAAAATATGAGTAAGCCACCTCAAGAGAGGGTGGCGAAGGCCGAAATCACGGCCTTGCGGGTTGCCGATCAACGGCTAGGATTTGAGTAACGAGGTGGGAGAGGAAGTAGTGGTGATGTATGCGACATTGTGGAAGAAATCGACCTTGACGCGAAGGAGGAGCCACATTCAAGTTTCATTGTGCCAGTTTGCAGGAGTTTGACAGGTACGGGTTAACTCTGCTTCTGAATGGCTTCAAAGTTTGTTTTACGTGTGCACGTCATGAAATATTGCATGGATATGTTGCAATCATGTTGTTTAGCCAATTTATCACTTTTTATTTTAGATTCGTGAGTAAGTGAGCTATGTAGATGCCATCGGCATTGCATTAACATAATCAAGGCCGGATGTGTATGGTTGTGTTGGCTAAATGATTTTTTTTATCTTCTTTTGGCCAGAGTTGTCAAGCATGGCCAACTAAGTTAGCCACAATGTCGACAAAGAAAACGGGTTCTTTTGCCTTTTATTTTTGTTGACAATGGTCTCATAATAAGGAAAGAAGGACCAAACATCGTTGTGTTTACTTAAGCGGCGACACGAAATTTGTTCATTGCATGACTGTTGTCATTCTTCTATGTTTCTAGCACCAACGCCGTTGTGACCTCAACAGTGTTTCAAAAAAGGGACTAGGGACCAATTATGGTTCTTCTTCTGAACAATGGTGTTTGTCGCACAACTCTTTCTTTTGGCCAAAATAAATTTTAAATAATAAATAAAAGAAACGTATCGGCCAAGATTTCACCAAAACATGTATAAATGTATAATAAAAGAAGGCTGAGCCAAAACAGGGTTGTTTCAATTGGCCACAGCGTTGCAGGAGGATGAATCCTTGCAATGTTGAGAGTTGACAGCAAATTCAATTTGGCAAGGATTTGATTGCAAGATTGCTCGAGCGAGAAACAAAGTTGGGGAAGTGGAGCCATCTTTATAGAATGGCCACATCATTAAAAGGGTAAATTAGCTTGGAGCAGGACTTATTATTATTACTAGTCCTTGTTAGGGAAAGAACGGGATTGGCCAGTATTGCATGAGAGCTTTGTCTTGCTTATGAAAAACTACTGGATTGCAATGGTGACTAATCGAATGAAAGAAAAAAAACAACCAGGAAAAAATCATCATTGAAACAGTGTTGTTTTTAGCCACAACAGCTCCGCATCTGGCTTTTCCTTTTTTAGCGACGCAGCAGGCCACGGATTGTAAAAATAAAATAAAAAGAGGAAAAGAGTTTAAAGCCAACGTAGTGGCTAAACAAACAAGAGGTTAAAAACGTTGCGGGCCAACAACAAAAGAGAAAAAAAAAAATCTGAATGTTATGAAACTAATGTAATATAAACAACTACAAGAGAAGATTATAGAGGGAAAGACACAAAGAAGATAGGGGAAGTGAGCTTTCTTATTCATCCTCCTCTTTTGATACAATGATGTGCTTTATTTATAGGCACACCTTGGTAACCATTACATTCTTATATTAATGAGAGATAATGAAACATAAAGAAGCTATCAAATGTAGGAATGGAGTTACATGTAACTCCCAAGTGAGCATCTAATGTGGTAATTGCAATGGTCATCCATATATCAATATTTACATAATACTCCCCCTTGGATGACCACTAGATTGCATTACGCTATCTCATGCTGCCTCGTTAAAAACCTTACCAGGAAAACCCAGTGGGAAAAAACCATGGTTAAGGGAAAAAGAGTGCAGTGCGTATATGCTCCCCCTAATGACCACATCACTTCAAATATTTGAGTCGTTGAACTCAAATTTCATGAACAACTTTTAGAAAGATTGTTGTCGGGAGTGAGTTAGTGAACAATCTTCTAGATTGACAATTTGATGCATGATCTTTAGATTTTCTTCATACATGATCATCAGGATCATTTCATTTGAAAATAGTTCACAACCACAAGTACTTGAGATATGGTGGATCACAAATTAAAGTGCAACGAAAGACATTCGAGACTTGCCCATTATAGTTTGTTTTGTTTCTTTATGAAACATTTATATCACCATATGTAAGAGATAGCTCGTCTCCGATCAACCAATATGAGGATCAAATGATGTATAGGATTTGGATAATATAGTTTACCAAATCTCTCTTTGATAGTACCTTAATAGAACAATCGCATTTATTGTTCCTGAAGGTAACAAAGTATTTCCAACGTTCCATTGAGGGAAACATTGTATTTTGCTAATATTAGCAACACCAAAATGATAGTTTATATGGTGCTTGGCTAGCAAGATGCATTGATGCTCTGATGCATCAACATATGGTAATTCAGGACCTAGTACAACAACATAGAGTACTTCAGGACCTAATGTTTCGCTTCTTTCTTGATGTCTAAATGGATCTTTGGTCACTTCTAGTGATCTTAGGATCCTAATGTTATTTGATGAACATAATTTGTTCACGCAAAATTACTTTTCCACTTTTTCAACATTACCTTCCTTGCCCATAAAAATGATCTTAAATCCTTCAATCTAACTTATGTCTCGAAGCAATCAACTTCTTTAGGAAGCTCTTCATGAGATCCAATAATAGTCATATCATTAACATAATATGAGATCGTAAAAAAAAAAACTTAACTAACACAAATTTATGCTAGCAATTCTTTCCTATCACGAAAGATAATAACAAAACTCACATCATAGAAACATATGAACTAGACAAAGCACAATCATAAAACACAACTCATACTTTAAAGTAAAACACAACTCATAAACCAAGATTTTAAAATTCTTGAAGCACATACAGACAACACAACTATATATGCACAATGCAAATGCTCTAATGCTGTGCACTCTATCCGGATTTAACCTTTTAAGGTCCATTCACCCCACTATTGTAGGTGTTCACTTAGACGAGTATTTCACATTCTTCTATATTTTCTCAACCCATACAGGGGATATTCTTAGTCTATCATTATATGTTCTCGAGAACTTTACTTGTTTACTTCAGGTAAATTAATCCTTCTGGGACTTTCAAATATATATATAACATCTTCAAGGAATTCAAACAAATAGGCTATCACAACAATTTTCAAACATAGATTTAAACATTGATTTGACAAAGTAGTTGCATCCACCACAAGAGAGCATAACTCCCCTCAAATAATGATAGGTCTCTTCGAGAAACCCATTGCAAAACATTGTGTTATATCTCTCACAATTTCATACTTTCCAATAGCACAAAAATTTGTTTGTATCCCGCTATTTTTGCCCTTTTTTAGGTGCTAGGACTTCTGGTCCTTAAACTTTATGCTCCTTGAGCAAGTTTCATGATTTCTTAATATATTGGCCAATAAAATCATCATTTGCATGCATCAATAGAGTTTTACTCTTGATCCTCACTTGTACATATCATATTCAGTACTGAAGTACAACAAACAAATTTCATCGACAATGATTTCATTTCGGTTCCAGTATTGTAGTCTAATATATTTTTGAGATCTCTTCCCTTTCACAACTTTCAGAGACATGTGTTCTTCTGGAACTAAAATTATACTTAATTCTTGGTTACTCTTCTTGAGTTTTCATGTCCTCGAGTTGACCATTCTAATTATAGCTCCTTTTCTTTCTCGAAGATGTTTATCATTGGAACCGATTGGTATATCACGCTTCATGCACTCTTTCATACACATTTTTTTATATTAGAGTATCCAACAATGATATCAAATTTAGTTGGAGCATTCACAGCTAGTATATGTGACTTGGTCACTTCGTATGGCCAGTAAAGGCATTTGCTAGTTGGTAACGATAATTCATCTTATGAACTTCAGGTTCATGTTTCTGACTTTGAGGATCAAAATTAGATAATGAGAACTCATTCCAACTTATCTCTTTGTCTAGCTGTTTTTTTTCTCTCCCCCTTAATGTTGGAAAAGTTATTCATCAAAACATTAATTTCGCAAAAAAAATCTCATTTGGGATTCATACCCAACACAAATTCTCAATTTCCAATGAGAATCAACTTAAGATACTGTGGTGGAGCAATTGGGATGTATGCGGCACACCCTTATATTCTAATATGGGAAATGTTAGGTTTCTGACCAAAACCATTTGTAAAAAGGGGGGAACTTTTGATAACTTGTTGGTTAGATGTGAACCAATACTATCACTTGCCAGCTAGCATGTCCTCGACAAGTGATGTTTGATTGGATAATCATAAAAATGTATCCGTAGTGAGGCAATCAATCTCACAAACATCGGGTTGCGAATTGTGATTAGATGAAATAAAAGTGATCATATAAAATCTCAAGAGATTTGCCAACTCTTATACAAGCTCTGATCAATTGTTCTATTCTCCTTGAGAACAAACGTGGCATAATAACTCTTTTAGTTGAAGAGTTCTTTGACTTCTCATATGATGTTCTCATGAATTCTCAAATAACATTTTTTCTTATCAAGATCCGGGATGGTCTAACCGGACCAACCAATTATCAAGTTATCAAATCTTGTAAACTTCTGGTTTACACTTTTATGTGTACTGATAGTACTAATATACATGTAGTACATATTTGTGATGCAAATATTAGTTTTACTATTTTCTTGATAAGATACTCATTTTACGAACATCCTTTTAATTGGGTAATGCATCATCACTAGGTAGTTTGGTTCCTTCAGGCCACAAAACATTAGCTCTTTAAGAGCTTTACCATATTTTGTACCATATTTCGCCCTTCCAGAGACTTATGATTTGATGCAGTCTTAGTAAACACATATTCATAGTGAATATCATCACAAATTATTATCACGAGTACATAATTTAGCTACTTCAAGTAACCAAACATAAGCTTTTCAGAAGCTTTTTCTCATTTATGTACTCTACCATATAGTTTATATGGAATTTTTCTAACAATCATACTTTACAAAAACATACTAAAATAATAAATGAGAATATTTCAAACTTAAGACAAAAATGATGAATTTATCAAGTTAATTGTTCTAGATAAAGGTTATCAAATTAAATTATGCATGAAAAATAACGTCACAATAAAACATAAAAGAAATAAGAATCATAATACTACAATTGGGAAAATTAAATAAGCTTTATTTGGAACAATACCATCACTAACTAGGTGATTTTAAATTTATATATGCGTTCCATTATGCATTTCAATGTACAACAGGTACATTATGTTATCATGACTTTGATATGCAATTGTTATTTCATCCTTATTTATAATTCTTCTCTTTCCTCACTTCTGGTGAAAAGATCCAAACAATACATTTAGCATATATATAATCATGTTTATAGCTCCATTCATTTCGGGGAATAGATTGCTTCATTCACTTCTGGGAATGAAAATGTCTCAAGTGCAATATCATTTTCATCTTTAATGGAGAATATACCAACTTATAATACAAATAATATGTTCCATAATATTGATATTGCAGGAGCGTATATGAATTTGCTCTTCCCTTTGATTCTTGGTAGAATAAAGTCTTTTTGCGTACAACGGGTACGAGACAAATGCAATTTTCCATTACATTGGTAACATACAAAACCAATCTTCTTGTTACCATGTCCACTTCTTTCTTTGCCCTTGGATTCCTCAATTTCCACTTCTGGGGAATATATGGGCTCTTGGAACTTGCATTTTCTACATATCAATGTATGGTTGATAAGAATAAGATAACACGGAGAACTGAGAAATTAACTCATCACTTATATTACTTTTCTTGTTAATCCAAATAGATCGACGTGATAAA